CCTACACCCCTAAACCCCAAAACCCAAACACCCTAAACCCCTAAACCCTAAACCCTAACACCCTAAACCCCTAACACCCTAAACGCCTAAACCTCCAAACCCTAAACCCCTAAACACCTAAACCCTAAAACCCTAAACCCGATGTGCCAGGGATCATCTCAGCTTTCGCCAGCACGCTGAGCGCAGCATACTTGCCACAGAGAATTCGCCTGACTGAGGCCTTCTGACAGGGGTTTAGGGTTTAGGTTTAGGGTTTAGGGTTTAGGGTTTGTGTAGGGGTTGAGGGCTCGTTTAGGGTTTAGGGGTTATAGTTTAGGGTTTTTGGGTTTAGGGGTTTTAGTTTGGGGTTCAGGGTTTGGGGGTTTAGGGGTCAAGGGTTTAGGGTTGAGGAGTTTGAGGGTTTAGGGGCTGAGGGGAATAGGGGCTTAGGGTTTAGGGATTTGAGGGTTTAGGGCCAAAGTTTGGGCCTAAACCTAAGGGATTTTGCAGGCTTGGGGGCTTGGGATTCAGGGCTCTTGGATCTGGACTTGGGAGAATTCAGGGGCTCAGGATTTTGCGGGTTTGAGCCGTTTAGGGCTTAGGGCCTAGGGTTTAGGGTTCGAGTTTGGGGTGGTGAGTCTGGACTTCTGTGGAAGTTGGAAGCTTAACCCTAGAATCTGCCAGGATACTGGACAGTGAATAGCTGGCTTGTGGCACCTCTAGGTAGTATTACTAGGAGTACCCCTTAAAGGGTACCCCTTCTGAACCCTACTTTTGGCTCTCTTAAAACCCTAAACCCTAAACCCTAAACCCTAAACCCTCTTAAAAGGTACCTTATTGAGAGGGTCTATATCCTCAAGGGTCCCCTTTATCCTAGCTCCCAACCTCTTCCAAGCTGACTAGCCCTTCGTCCTCCAGCTTCCACCGGTTTAGGGTTTAGGGTTTAGGGTTTAGGGTTTAGGGTATCTGTTCCGAAAGACATGATACTCAGCGTCACAGACTGTGGTATAGTTATATCGTGATGAATCGGCGAAAGCACTACTGGCTGCTCAAACCTCTATCTTCCCAACAAGCCTAAACCCTAAACCTTAAGCCCTGAACTCTTTGACTGACTGGCATCCCTTCGGCGAGGCATTGCATGCTTCCGTCGCGCCCGAGCTCTTGGGTGGGAGCCTCACCAGATTCGGCGTTAGGGGATTGAGTTCAGGGCTCAGGATTTAGGGTTTAGGGCAAAATAGATGTCTGAGTATTTTGGTATTGACAAACACCCCTAAAGTTAAAAAACAATGTGGTTACCCCAAACCCTTATCCTGATTGTATCATCGTTCTTTCTGTTTCGTGGTTCGCTTTTGGCCCCTGGCTCTTTTGCTGAGTATTCTGAGTATAGGAAGTAGCGTGTTTGTTGGTTCGTTTTGCCCATGGTTTCATGCTGATACGCAGCCAGAAGCCCGAGAAGTAGATTGCTAAAGCCACAGCTGGCTGGGCAGGCTGAATAGTTGGAACCGTTCAGGTGGGAAGCCCTAAACCCTAAAAGCCCTAAACCCTAAACCCTAAAACCCTAAACCCTAAAACCTAAAACCCTAAAAATCTATAAACCCTAAGCCCTAAAACCCTAAACCCTAAAGCCTAAACCCTAAAGCCCTAAACCTTGCCATGGTTCATTCACTGAGGCCAAGCCCAAAACCTTCTGTGCACGGTGATGGTCTCCATCAACGACCTGAAGGCTGAGATAGTTCAGGTTTTAGGGTTTAGGGTTTAGGGTTTCGGGTTTAGGGTTTAGGGTTTAGGGTTACCAGGTTTTAGGCTCATTGTTGAGGGTGCCTGCAGTCTTCATTGTATGTTTGTTTTTTGGATGAACCAGGTTTATGTTTGAGATCCGATAAGGCCACCAAAAACGGCAACTACCATCGAGACTATGGTTCAGGGTTCAGCAGCAATGACGCTGCATGGAAAGTTGGAAATGAGTTCGCTTGGTTCCCGAAGCGTTTTCCGACATCTTGCTACGGCTTGCTGCGAATCGGAGGTGTTCGATTCTTCTGGTCTTGCTCTTGCTGCACGGCATTTTACTGGCACCCCTCATGCCCTGCTGATTCAACAGTGGAGCGGGTTTGGTAGGGTTGCTAAACCCAAAACTCTTAAACACCTAAACCCTTAGCCCTAAACCCTAAGGCCTAAGCCTGTGATCGAAATGGCATATTCAGCGGCGGCCATCAACCTACGCTTGACCCCGTCAACTCACAGCCCTGACTGAGAAAACACCCTGAGGGGTTTAGGGTTTCGGAGCTGCTAACAGTAGGGTAGGAATCTTTGACCTTTGTGGGGCATAAACCCAAAGTTTACCCATTTGCATCCCCCAGGAGATGTGCAAACTCCGAAAGTTAGGGTTTAGAGTTTAAGTGTTACTGGGTTTAGCGTTACTGTTTGTTTCACTCCAAAATCAGCGAAACTGCCGCAGACAGGTGACTGCACCTGGGTTGCTCCTGTCGCCGTTCTTCATCGTCGTGGGCTCGAAGATGGCCCATGCCTTGCTAGAGCGCGGTGCCCAGGGGGACTGTCAGGATGAAGTGCCGTTTAGGGTTTAGGGTTTAGGGTTCAGGGTTCAGGGTTTAGGGTTTAGGGTTTAGGGTGAACATGTTGTTTGTAAGGGTCTTTGAATGAAGGGTTTTGTAAGGGCTCTATGATATAGGGGCCTTGGTAACAAAAAAGGGTGTTGGGCTAGATTATGCGTCGTTATGATAAGGAACCCTATGCGAAAGAATGGTAGTAATCCTATAGAAGCAGGAAGCAGAATAGGTATCATCACCTGGGTCATGTCTCGGCGCCCTTTTGCTTTCGTTCATGATAGAGTTGCCCAAAGGGTCCTGTGTACTGTTGTGAGGGATACTTCCCTAATTCACGGTAGTAACTCCGAGAATAGAAACTCTCCATTCTACTATATAGCATAGGTACATTGCACCCTTTGGGCTGTATGTCTTTCGGTAACCTTTTGCATGTGCCGCCCTCCTTGCAGGTCTGCTTCACGTGGGGTAGCAGTGCACCTTGGATGCAGTAAGATGCAAAACCTAAACTGGGCTTTGGAGTGCCGTACTTTAATACTCTTTTGGGGGCCTGTTCCTTAAAGGAACCATCATGAAATAAAAGTCTATACTTTTTTCTCGCTGGTTACTTCAAAGCCCAGTAAACGCTACGTGCTTAGCCGGAAAAACACTGCCTTCAGGTTTATACTGTTCTATTATTGCTCCGCGGGATTCTGGTGCAACGTAGTCTCAGGCGCTGTTCTGTGCATAGAGGCCCTTATAGTATGCCTTCGGCGTGCAATGAGTAGGTTGCCTGTAACCTCCTTTTCTGAAGGGGGCCTGTATTATCATCCCTGCTGAAAGCATCGTGTGAGTTGGTACCAAGTGTTATAAGGTATCTCCTTATGAGAATGCACAACCTCAGTTAAACAATTGAAGTGTTCTGGCCAGTCGCACTGTTTTGGGTTTAGGGTTGAGAGTTTAGGGTGTAGGGTTTAGGGTTTAGGGTTTCGTTGAGTGTGCCGGGGTCGGGGTTCTTCAGGGGTCATTGTGTACAGGCAGTGCTCACCCAACGAGCTCCCGTTCTACCACTCTGGTCTTGAGAACTCTGCTGTTGTCAAAAACATCCGTAACCCACAACCCCAAGCCTTGAACCCTAACCCAACAATCCTTGAATCTGAAAACTTGAATCCTAAATACCCATAAATATACCTGCAGGCTCGTTCCTTTTTTGTTTAGCCAGTTATGTGTTTAGGCCCTTATCAGCTACAATCAGAAGAAGGCACCACAAGGGAGACTACATGTAAATGCGAAAACCCTAAACCCTAAACCCTAAACCCTAAACCCTAAACCCTAAACCCTAAACCCTAAACCCTAACCCTAACCCTAAGCCCT